TATATATCCACCCACATCCCAAAGCCCACACCTCGCACCTACACCCTCACGGCCACTCGCACCTACACCCTCACGGCCACTCACACCCACACCCTCCCGGCCACTTAGAGTCTGGCCGCGAGGAAGTGATCCGTTTCGAGCTCTGTTATACCACATAATAATGTCTAAGAAACTCGCTTACATCAGAGTGTTGCAAACGTCATAACAACACTTGCTGATTCAGCGTCACTTAACCTGTGTATTGACTTTCTGTTCTTCTTCTTGGAAGGTGACAAAAATCTACTGATGACAGTCAACAAAGTGCATTATACCTTATTTTCTTATCAAATATTTACTGTGCAAGTCAGGACCGCTATTCAAGTATGCTGCAGAGATGGGATCGGTTCGGTTCGATTTTTGACCTCATCGGTTCGGTTTGGAACTTTTCAAAATGATCTCGGTTTGTATTCAGTTCGTTTCTTAGTTACATTGATACAGTTTGAGTCAGTGTATTGACATGTAAAACAAGAAACCAGAACGAGAAAAGATGTCCTTAGTAACAATAACAGTATTGATACATTTTCTTGTTATTCTTCGTCTAAGAAAAGACGACGTAAACAAACCAATCATGTCTTTAGATTAGAGCAACATTTGGATACTTTTGTCTAGTGATAGCTGAATAAATCAACTTCAACACAATATGAATATTTCTCCCGTATCAAATATATATGATGTTGTTGAGCTTGATTCTTCATCAAATTGTGAAAATGTTCAATTAAATGGGTGTTGGGTGTGGGTATGAGTGTGCGGTGTCGATGTCGGTGTGGGTGTAGATTGCGAGATGAGCCACACCCACACGCACACCCCACTGTTTATCCACCAAATCCAATTAAAACGATTTTCTTCAACAAAAAATACGATCCAAAATATTATCGAACAGCTTGATTATTTTTTTTATGATAACGTATAGCACCATGCAGAAATCCTTTTACCATCTCATTGATTTGCAGAAACCCCTTTCAAATGGTACTTTTTCTTATATTTGACTTTCAATTCTAAACTTTATTTTTGTTACCATTTCATACAGAATTTTATTACTTCACATTCGCTAAAGGGTGTGGGTTTGTGTGTGATTATATATTAAGAGAAGATATACACACCCACACCCAATAGTAGACGTTGCTAGTCGATCTAAATCATTCAGAATAAGTGGAAATACACGTTTCTTATAGCTTTCAATCTAACTATGAGATGTTTTGACAAAAGTAAGTGATCAGATCATCGATAGAGTAGAAGTTCAATAGGGAGAACTACAGTCAGTATATTGACTTCCTTTCTAGTTCGTTGGGAATAATAGTTGCTGAATTATTTGTCTCTCTACTATATGATTGAAAGGATACTGACCTTTTGTATGTGCTCGATGGTTTTATTCTGGTTAGTAATGTTTGTGATGCTTGCTGAGCACACTTACTGTAGTGTTTTTATATGATTTTGTTTTCTTTTGTTTAACACGTTTCATCGATGAAATAACTACGCATGTCGATTCCTTAGATGTGATGAACGTTAATCTAAATTTTCGAACAATATGTGAGTCAACAAGATCATTTTTTTTTATCAACTCGTGTATAACGACTTTGACTATGAAGAAATACACATTCTTTCAGCTGCAAATGTGAATTCATGAAGGAAAATTGTCAAATATATGTAAAAATGTTGTCATGATAAACTGGTGAAAATCGAAATCTGACTGAGCTTGTCTCTACAACACGACTATAAGTATTGTTTTTAGTCTTTAGAAACGACTTGTGTGGGATTAGAATCTTGAAATTCACTAGAGTAAGTCGACTATACATTGAAAACTATGAATAAAGAGAACCATAATAAGAAAAAAATTGGTATGAATTGATGAAGCTGAACAAATTCACCATGCTCTACAGAATCAGATTGAATTAGGTTTCTTTATAAATAAATGCGGAAACTTCGAATTTAAATCCGAGAGTTATGTGTACTTCAAAAAGTGAATTAGACAGATGAGTCATCCTAGAATGTGTGGATATCAAAATTATACCGGGAAATCTTTCCTATAAACCGTTTATTTCTGTTGACTATTGATCCATCAATAGGGCTTGGAGGCGAATAGAGCTCAAATTTGAACTCTTCGTCTTGATTTACCCTAAGAAAGTCGTTTTTCCCTATAACTTGATTTCTATTGGTCACCGCTCAACCAATAGTATTTCGAGGCAAGTGGAGTACGGATTCGAGTTCTCCGCCCCAGAAAACCTCAAAGTATCGGCTCTATGATCGGAAGATAGAGCTCGAATTGTGAGTCAGTTAGATCGTGGACAAAAACGGAACCCATTTCCCTTTAATTATCTTTGTAATAGGTGCGTTAGCCTTCTTGCTACTTTATGTTTTATATACCATTTTGTAGCTCGTGAAATTCTCTATCGAATGATATATAATAGTTGGGGTTTTATTTAACTATGATAGGGAAAGTTGTTTACGAAAGGTGGGATAGGTCGATTTTCGCATAGGAAGCCATAGGGAAAAATTACTATTTTTTCAATAACTCACGAATGGCTTGGCCGATCATGCTCATCTTCGAACTCGACCGAGACATTGTTAAGACTAAACTGTGTAGAAAATTTCATCGCGATTGGACTCTTCTTTCAAAAGTTATCGTGTATACGGACGGCCGGACGGACATACTGACCGATTCTAGAGTGTACTCACTTTTTGAGTACACAAAAATATTATCTTTACTTAGCTCTTATTCAGTAGGAAGAACTATGTATTTTGCTATGAAGTAGAACAAATTCGCCATCATTGTACATATATGTCCAGAAAGTCTTTCGATAGTGCCAATATTAAAAATTTTGTTCAGTTTATAATCGATATTTATCGCGATGATTGTAATACTATGATAGACACGAAGACAATTAGGCATATGTTTTATCAGTTTTGAAATAGACCAGACAGTACTATATAAATCAGTTAGGAAAATCTTAATATCGTTTTGAAAAAATGATGATGCTTCATGATTATAAAGATTATGCATGTCTTTTCTAAAAGTTTCATAAACAGTCAAATAATATTTTCTCAAGTACGAATATTGAAATTTTCTAAGATATGCTTATAAAAAAACCTATTCCTAGGTCGATTTCAGTTTTCTGTACTTATGATACGAGGAGCTAAATCATATTGTTTCAACCGCGTTATTTAAATATTAGATAATTCAATTTACAACTAGAAATAACTTTATCAATTTCTACCGTACTTTCGAATGTTCGGAACCATTTTAAAGCGGTAAGCTTGACCGGAAATTGACCGGTTTGCCGAAATTTTACCGGTTCAGGAATGATTAACAACCGGCCGGACCGGACCGTTTTATCTTTTTCTTACCAGTCCCAACCCTGAGCGAGAGATCTTCTCTGAATCGCTATTGACCAATCCAGTGGACAGAGAAGAGAAGAAGAAAAAGGGAGATAGTGGTGAGAGATGGGGCTGCCTATAAGTAAATAATATAAACATTTCTCCTAATGAATTTCTTGTTTTTAGAGACATTCTTAACCGCTATTGCGCAATTATTATCATTTGCGAGAATAGA